CACTCTCCAGTGTGGAGGGAAGAGAAGAAAAGCTACAAAAAGGAGAAACAAGGAAGGGAAAGGGACTGGCAGACAGAGGAGCTCTGACCAGAGCATCCTACTCTGCCATCATCTTAAGAAAAAAACAATGATACCTAGGTTGTCACAGGAAGGGAGAACAAGCCAAAACATGAGGTCAGAGTAGAGACCAAAGGTGAAACAGTAAAACTGGAAGATCCTTCTCTGAGGTTATGCAGCACTGATAACAAGCTGGATGATCTGACAGCGCAAATAAGAGTATGATGTGACATGGTTTTCGATGTAGGAGGGAAAAAAACGTCTTGCGATTATATATAGCCCTGGTGAGACTACACCAGGAGTAATGTTGTGATGGTGGTTCGATTTGATTTGTTTGTTGTCACGCGTATTTTGTTGCAAAATACAGCGAAAACACCAGCACCACCTTAAAACACCGAAAAATAAACCAAAGCCTAGAATAGAAAGGCTGGAAAATAAGGAAATAAAGAAATAGTGTTCAACGTCTTAGATCATAGAATCCCTACAGCGTGGAAACAGGCCCTTCGGCTCCACAAGTCCACACCGACCCTCAGACATCCCACCCAGACCCATCCCCCTATAACCCACCTAATCTACACATCCCTGAACACTATGAGAAATTTAGTATGGCCAATCCACCTCACCTGCACATCTTCGGACTGTGGGAGGAAACCGATGCAGACACGGGGAGAATGTGCAAACTCCACACAGACAGTCGCCCAAGGCTGGAATCAACCCCAGATTCCTGGTGCTGTGAGGCAGCAGTGCTAACCAATGAGCCACTATGCCACACTTGATAAGTGCTCTACCACGGGCCACAAGTCCCTTTCGCTGCGCCACCACCACCGCTGGAACAAGAGTCGTCACTCTCCGGTGCCATCTCACCTCCAATGAAGCACCGGCCACTGTGAGACCTCACTGGACCTTGTGAATGCAGATGCCACCAATGCTACGGTGTACCGCACTGGCCCAAACTTGACTCCACCATCCCCGTGAGTCTGCTTCGGGCCCACCTCGCCAATGCCACGAATCAGTGCTGGATGCAGATGCTGCCGGGAACCCAAACGTGTCTCCGCCTCAACAGACATGCCTATGTATTACTATTTTCATTTTAGGTTAAGGTGGAAGAAAAGTAGATGTTAGCTTACAATTCCATTAAAATCTTTGGTTTTTTTTTAAAAGATTAGGAGATCAATTTGAACAGAAAGCTAAAGACAGCATCGAGTAAAAAAATATAGTTTAATGAAGTGAGCAGCAAGGCCCAGAGCGATAATTGATAAAATTGATAATTTGTTGGCTTGTGTATAGTTTTGGTCTCCTCACCAACAGGAAGGTATACTTTGGAAGTCCAGGGGGTGGTGGGAATCTAAAATGCACTGCCTGAAGAGGGCCATTGAGGCAAGAAACCTCACAATTTTTAAAAAGTACGTGGATGAGTACTGGAAATGTCATGACATTCAAGGCTATGGGGCCAAGTGCTGGAAAGTGCGACTAGTCCTAACTGAGAGCAGTTTTGTCAGTGCAGACTCAATGGGCCGAAGTTTGCTGAAACGTGGGGAAAGATTAAATAGACTGGGCCTTTAATCCTTGGAGTTCAGATAAATGAGAAGTGATCACACATCATTCGAACAAGCAAAATTCTCACAGGGTTCAGTGTTTTCTGTAGCTTCAGGCACTAGAAACGGAGGACACAGTCTCAGGAGAAGACGAATTTTGGAGAGTCCGAGATGGTTCATTCACTCGGCACTTCTGGCTGAAGCCTGCTGCAATTGCTTCAGCCTTATTGTCTGTGGATGTGTTTGACCTTCCATCATTGAGGATGGGGATATTTGTGGCGCCTTCTCCTCCAGTGAGTGGTTTAATTGTCCATTCCCGTTGACAACTGGATGCGGCAGGACTGCAGAGCTTAGATCTGATCCGTTGGTATAGGGATCGCTCCGTTCCTTCTACCATTCCTTCTGCTGTTTGGCATGCAAGTAGTCTTGTTTGGTAACTTCACCAGGTTGACACCGCATGTTTAGATATACCTGTGCTGTCCCTGGCCTACCCTCCTGCACTGTCCTTTGAACCAGGATTGATCCCCTGGCTTGACGGTAATGGTTGAGCGGGGGATATACCGGGCCATGAGGTTACAGATTGTGCTGCAGTACAATTCTGCTGCTATTAATGGCCCACAGCACCTCATGGATGTCCAGTCTTGAGTTGCTAGATCTCTTAGAAATCTGTCCCACTTAGCACAGTGATAGTGCGGTGCCACACAACACAACGGTATTCTTAATGTGAAGATGGGATGTCTCCACAACAACTGTGCAGAGGTCACTCTTACTGATACCATCATATACAGATGCATCTGCAGCTGGCAGGATGAGTTGGACTACGTTTTTCCCTTTTGTTGGTCCTCTCACTACCTGCTGCAGACCTAGTCTAGCAGCTATATCTTTTAGGACCCGACCAACTCATTCAGTAGTACTGCTGCCAAGCCACCCTTGGTGATGAACATTAAAATCCCCCAACGACATTTTGTATCCTTGCCATGCTCAGTGTTTCCTCCAAGTCATAGAGTCATACAGAACGGAAACAGACCCTTCGGTCCAACCAGTCCATGCCGACCATAATCCCAAACTAAACTAGTTCCACCTGCCTGCGCTTGGCCCATATCCCTCCAAACTGTTCTTATTCATGAACTTGTCTAAATGTCTTTTAAACATTGTAACTGTACCCACATTCACCATTTTCTCTGGAAGCTCATTCCACACACAAACCACTCTCTGCGTAAAAAAAAAGTTATCCTTCATGTATTTTTAAATCCTTCTCCTTTCACCTTAAGAATATGCCCCTTAGTCTTGAAACCCCCACCCTTGGGAAAAGACACCTGTCATTCACCTATCTATACCCCTCATGATTTTAGAAACCTCTATAAGGTCACTCCTCAACCTCCAACGCTCCAGTGGAAAAAGTCCCAGCCTATACAGTGTTATTCACTATGAAGGAGTACTGATTCATCAACTGAGAGAGGGCAGTACCTTAGCAGGAGGTTTCTGTGCTCACGTTTAACCTGAAGTCATGAGACTTTGTGGGCCCGGAGTCGACGTTGAGCACTCCCATCCCAACTCCCTCCCAACTGTCCACTGCTGTTCTGAACAAGGGTCACCAGACCCGAAACGTCAACTCTGATTTTTCTTCACAGATGCTGCCAGACCTGCTGAACTTTTCCAGCAACTTCTGTACACGAGTGTGCCGCCACCTCTGTTGGGTCTCTCCTGCCGATGGGATAGTACGTATCCAGGGATGGTGATAAGTCTGAGATATTGTCAAATATGAGTCCGTGAATGTGACTGTCACACTGTTGCTTGACTAGTCTGTGAGACAGTGTCCCAATTTTGGCACAAGCCCCCAGATGTTAGTAAGGAGGACTTTGAAGGGTTGACAAGACTGCCATTGTCTTTTCCAGTGCCTAGGTCAAAGCTGGGTGGTCTGTCAAGTTTAAAGAAGAAGTGCCAGGCATCGCATTCCAGATGCAATTCAATTGGGCAAACTACCAGTCTTGAAGCAAAACACACTTTATTCAAACACTGTAGTTAAAATACAACAAAAGAAAGAAATTGTAATAACTCTATTGGAAAACTTAACTGAATAATAAATTATTCAATGACTAAACAGCTACAGTTACAATATAGTAACATCCCATAAACACACTCTTGGCAAAGGCAAATTCAGTAAAATAGATTGTCTCATGTGCAATTCTCCAGTGCAGGAGAAAAAAAAACAAGAGAAAACTCAGAGAGAGTGTAGCAGGGAAAGATGTACTGCAGCTTCCAAACCCAGGTTCAAGACCCCAGCAATTGCTATTGAAAAAAACAGAAGTTAAAAATCCTGGTTCTGTTGGAGCTTGACCTCACCCATTCAGGCTGCTTCTATTGTTCTAACTTTAAAAAAAAAGCAAGGCTCACAAACTGTTTATTGGCTCTGAGTAAACCACCTCTGTCTCAAACTTTCTTGAGAAAAAAAAAGGACAAAATACACCTCTTAAAGCCATAGTATCATCAGGGATAGGTTGGTGTTGGGGGATCTTTTGAGCAAACGATGGACAGGTTGGGCCTGTCTCCTTTAGAGTTCAGGAGAATTAGTGATGCTCTTATTGAGACACATATAAGATCCTGAGTGAACTCAAAAGGGTGGGTGCTGAAAGATTATTTCCACTTGTAGGATAAACTGGAACCGAAAACAATGTGTCGTCCATTTAAGTCAAGAGTCAAGCAAAAAAACTTCCTCTCGGAGAGGTAAGAATCTGGATATTTTACAGGCCAGGACAGATAAATTCTTGACTAACACAGGACTCAGAAATTATTGGGGTAGGCAGAAATGCTTAGTGGAGGCCACAATCAGATCTTAGCTAACCTGCCTAAGCCTGCACATCCCTGGACATTAGGATGCAATTCAGCATGGCCAATCCACCCTAACCTGCACATCTTTGGACTGTGGGAGGAAGCCGGAGCACCCAGAGGGGACCCACGCAGTCACAGAGGCAGAATGTGCAAACTCCACACAGTTAGTCGTCCCGAGGGTGGTTTCGAACCTTGGTCCTTGGCACTGACTTTTGCTTCTCAATGCCATGCTCTACAGTATGCGGCCTTGATGTCAAAGACAGTCACTAGTGCATTTGTTTAATCATTTGGTCGTGTGATTGTCACTGGCTGGCCAGCATTTATTAACCATCCCTAGTTGCCCTAGAGAAGGTGGTAGTGAGCTGAATCCTTGAACTGCTGCAGTCCATTGCCTGTAGGTTGAAACAATTCCATTCAGGAGGGAGTTCCAGAATTTTGGCCCAACGCCAGCGAAGGAACATCAGTACGGTGGCTCAGTGGTTAGTGCTAGCACTTCACAGCGCCAGGGACCTAGGTTCAATTCATTGATATTCATTGAATTCAAATTCCACCATCTACTGAGTGGGTTCCTGGAACATTACCTAGGTCTCTGGATTAACAGTCCAGCAATAATACCGCTCGGCCATTGCCTCCCCAAGACGTTTCAGCACCTCTGATGCTTTTTAAAACAAAAACAGAGTATTAATTTCCACCTCAGAACGGATAAACAGCCGGAGAAACAGGCTCCAACTGTTAGAATGAACACCGTTCAGTCTGATGTAACTAACTGTGTAGCAGCGACCACAGAATCCAACCCCAGCAGTCACTTGTGAATTTGCTGGTGTGTCAACAGGCTGGATGGCTGAGTGAATCCCTTCCCACACACACAGCAGATGAACGGCCTCTCGCCAGTGTGAACTCGCTCGTGTCTCCGTAGGTGTTGCGACTGACTGAATCCCTTCCCACACTTGGAGCAGATGAACGGCCTCTCCCCAGTGTGAGTGCGCTGGTGTGCCAGCAGGTTGAATGATGTTCTGAATCTCTTTGCGCAGACGGCGCAGACGAACGGTCTCTCCTTTGTGTGAATTCGCTGGTGGACCATCAGGTCCTCAGAGTTTTTAAAGCCATCCCCGCAGTCAGAACATTTGAAAGATCTCTCATTGGTATGACTGCCGCGATGTTTCAACAGGCTGGTCAACTGAGTGAATCCCTTCCCGCACTCGGAGCAGATGAATGGCCTGTCCCCGGTGTGTACTCGCCGGTGTGTGAACAAATTGGATGACTGAGTGAATCCCTTCCCACACTCGGAGCAGACGAATGGCCTGTCCCCGGTGTGCACCCGCTGGTGCGTCAGCAGGGTAGAGGAATCACTGAATCCCTTTCCACACACGTGGCAGATGAATGGCCTCTCCCCAGTGTGAATACGTCGATGAATTTCTAGCTGCGATGAAAAATTGAATCCTTTCCCACAGTCTCCACATTTCCACAGTTTCTTCGTGGTGCAAGTATCCTTTTGTTTCTCCAGCTTCAATGATCAGTAGAAGTTTCACCAACACACGGAACACATGTATATTCTCTTCCTGCAGTGAATGGTAAGATGCTTTTTCAGTCTGTGTAACGGGTTACAGCTCTTTCCACAGTCAGTTCACTCTTAACTTAGGGGAGGCAGTGGTGTAGTGGTGATGTTACTGGGCTGGCAATCCAAAGCCCAGGTTAGTGTTCTGAGGACACAGATTGAAATCCCACCATGGCAGATAGTGATACTATATTCAACAAAAATCTGTAATCTGGAAAATAAAACTGCATGTATCGGTGACCATGATTGTTGTAAAATTCCACCTGGTTCCCTAATGTCCTTCAGGGAAGCAATTCGCACCTTGTCTGGCCTACGTGTGACTACAGACCCGTGGCAAGGTGTTTGGTTCTTAACAGTTCTCTAGATGTTAGGGATGGGCAAGACAGACTGGCTTAGCCAGCAATGCCCTGGAACCAATGAATGAATTAACAGAAAGTCTGTGTATCTGATTAAAGCTCTTTCCAGTCAGTTCATGAGAACACTCTCCATCTGGGTATGTGCATGTCTCAGTGCTTTACCAGACACCCTAATGTTTGAAATCTTTTCCCAATAAGTAATGTTTCTCCTTACACCTTTCAAGGCTGATGATATACAGGTCCTGACAAATCGAGTGGCCTTGATGTCGCGCCCTCACCTACTGAAACCCTGAAAAAAAAAGTCCACGAAAGTCAGCACTGAGAGTATTGGACTGAAATTCACAATTGATTGACATCTACACAACCGTTCCCCCAACACTGCTCTAATCCAAAACCACCTTACTCTTCATTGAGGATCCTGTCCTCCACCCCTCCTCGGGGACCCCAGCATCACTGTGACCTACTCACTGGTGGCACGTTCTTCTTCTTCTTTGAGGATAGTGGCCACCTGAAACCGCCATTTAGGGCAATCTTAAGTCATTCAAACAGTCATAGAAATGAACAGCATGAAAACACACCCTTCAGTCCAATTTGTCCATGCCGACCAGATATCCTAAATAAATCTAGTCGCATTTGCCAGCATTTGGCCCTTATGCCCGTAAACCCTTCCTATTCATATACACATCCAGATCGTTTACCATGGTGCCCTGGCAACACCCACGATCTCCTGAGAGTCTGCCCATCCTGACCATCTTTGCTTAAACATAAAAATATGCAAATACTGTACATTGTGTTACTAACGATACAGATTGCTGGAAAAACTCAGCAGAATAGAATTCTGAAGGAGGATCACGGGACTCGAAACGTTAACACTGCTTTCTCTCCACAGCTGCTGCCAGACCTGCTGACTTTCTTCAGCAATTTCTGTTTTTGCTTCAAATTCACAGCAACCCCAGTTCTTTGATAACACAGTGTGGAGCTGGAGGAACACAGCAGGTCAGGCAGCATCACAGGAGCAGGAAAGCTGACGTTTTGGGTCTGAAGAAGGGAAGGGTCCCGACCCGAAACGTCAGCTTTCCTGCTCCTCTGATGCTGCCTGACCTGCTGTATTCCTCCAGCTCCACACTGCGTTATCTCTAGCATCTGCAGTTCTTACTAACCCCAGTTCTTTGTTTTGTATGACTAATGACATTCCCAACGCTGACCATCACATCATTCACAATAATGACGTTCCAGATCATCAATTTCTATTTTTAAAAAACATACTTCTGAAATTGGAAATAACTCAAAGGTTTGCATGTCATTCTTCTGCAGCAAATAAAACCATACTGCATGCCAACTGCTGTACCAACCCTGTCTTGCAGTGTGGAACCTCTGGGCATTTGGGCAGGTCCGAGCTTTGGGTGGATACGGCCCCGCCCACTGTGGAGGAGGCTCTCCGATTGGTTCGTGGACCGCCCGGCCCACCGACCACAGAACCGATTCCCATTGGCTCGGAGACCCGGCCATCATCTAAGGATCCGCCCCCCCGCCTCTTCCGGTTCCGCCTAACCGTAGGTATGGAGGAGGAGGGGAAGTGGAGCCGGGGAGACAAATCCAGACTCCGAGGAGGAAGGGAGCGTTGGAAACCGCTCGGGAGGTCAGCGGATATCTCAGAGGACGTGGAAAGAGAGGAGCTTCTTAAATGTAAACGATGAAAGTGGCTTTTTTCCTCCTAAACCGGCCGCCCCGTTACCGTGGGAGCAGGCCGCCATCTTGCGGGTCGGAGGGTGCGGTCAGGACGCATGCGCCGCCACCACCAGCGTCGGTGGGCGGGGCTTCAGCTGTTCCCATACAGACCCCGCGGAGTGCTGCTCACAGTGGGGTCTCCTCTACACTGGGGAAACGAAGCGTAGACTTGGCGACCGCTTCGCAGAACAGACCCTGAACTACCTGCTCCCTGGCCAACATCTCTGTCTCTGGCTTGCTGCAGTGTTCCAGTCAAGCCCAACGCAAGCTGGAGGAACAACACCTCATTTTCCTCTTGGGGACCCTACAGCCCTCCGGACTCAATATTGAGTTCAATAATCTTAGGGCCTAAACTCTTCCCATGTCCCACCCCACACCCCACACCCCACACCCCACACCCCACACCCCACGCCTTGTAACCACATAGCCTGCCATTATACACCCCCTGTTGTTAGTCACTAACAGGCCCCATTAACAACTATTCACCCTCCCAGCCTGATCGTTAGCAACTCCATTGTCTCAAGTTTCAAAATCTCCCCTCCCCCTACCGCATCCCAAAACCAGTCCAGCTCGTCCCTGCCTCCCTAACCTGTTCTTCCTCCCACCTATCTCCATCTCCTACCGACCAACCTCATCCTGCCCCCTTGACCTGTCCGTCCTCCCTGGACTGACCTATCCCCTTCCTAACTCCCTACCTACACTCACCTTTACTGGCTCCATCCCCGCCTCTTTGACCTGTTTGTTTCCTCTCCTCTATCCCTCTTCTATCCGCCTCCCACTCTCTCCCTATTTATTTCAAAACCCCCTTCCCCTCCCCCTTTTCTGATGAAGGGTCTAGGCCCGAAACGTCAGCCTCTCTGCTCCTATGATGCTGCTTGGCCTGCTGTGTT